CTCTCTCTCTCTCTCTCTCTCTCTCTCTCTCTCTCTCTCTCTCTCTCTCTCTCTCTCTGCCTCTATTCTCTCTGGATCTCTCTCTATATTGCTCTCTCATTTCTCTTTCTCTCGCAATCATCCACCCTCTTGGAGTTCTGATCGCGGTGCGACCGACACACATTCAGGATATGTATCCGCATACCTCCGGCCGCGGCAGAGGGTGAAGGGGTTGCGCGAAAAAGAGAGAGAGAGAGAGGAAGAGAGAGAAAGAGAGATAAATACAGAGGTAGATAAAGAGAGACAAACAGACGGACAGAGAGAGAGAGAGAGAGAGAGAGAGAGAGAGAGAGAGAGAGAGAATGAGCAGGAGAGAGGAACCGAGCTTACACGCCATGGGAATGGGAAATGGGACGCCGCGGAATATAGGTGGACACTAACCGGTATGAGAGTGAGGATTACCGGGTGTCATCCGTATTCGGCCGGGTTAGCGGCTGTCAGCGGCCAATGCTATCGCTATATATCAATTATTACCTTTGGCCGCGCTGTGCAACGCTCGGCTGCATTCCGGTGCACACTCCACTGCCGCAGTGCACCGCCTGTTCGTCCGTCCACCCGCCTGTCCACCCGCTCGCCGCGTATCTCGCGCGTCCGCACCGCGAGTCGATTTGCATCGCGACGCATCGTATGCAAACGCGCCGCGACCGCGCCTCTCGCATCTCCGCGCTTCCACGCGGGTTACGCGGGTTTAACGTCGAGCCCATGTCCGTTGGCTGGCTGGCTGGCTGGCTGGCTAGCTGGCTAGCTAGCTGGTTGGTTGGCCGTTCTGGTTTGCGCATTGTATTCACCGGCTCGTAAGTTCTGGTGAACGCGAAGGGTGCAGCGCCGGTAGTTATACCCTTGGGCTTTTCAAGCGAAACGACTAAGGAAAAAGGATCAATAACAGCGTCCATACAATGAACATATAATGAACATATAATGAGCATATAATAAGCATGGTAGTTATAGCGCTCATAAAATACACGTATAGTAACGGTAGGATTGTTATGAGCATATAGCAACGATAGAACTCATATGATGCGCGCTGAGTATTCATATAATAAGCGAGTAGAGATGTTAACGTTTATATAATGAACTTAATAATAATTGCTTATAATAGCTTCTATATATGGAGCAGTATTGTGTTTTATACGAACGATCTTATACAGAATATTTGACATAAAGTGTCTCATATCTCGTGTACATGTAGATTGGTTCACATTGAACACAAATTTCCTCTACCATTTTGCAAATAACTACGTTCTGAGTTGTTAATTAAAGAAAAATCATGCGCGATACGGCAAATGAGTTGTAATAACAACGTCTGCTGTAGTGTGCTTGCAAATTAGGTCAAACTGAACAAGAAAATACTCTACACCATATACACTTTTAGTTATCAATTAAAAACACTGTATTATCGCCCGCGATTATCCGCCAATCTTCTCTAATTAATAACTCAAAAATCTACATGGTTATTTGTAAAATGATACAGAATTTTTTTTCAGTTTCATCTAATCTACAAGCATATAATTGCAGGCGTCGCTATTATAGCTCATTTGCTGTAACAATAATTTCGTAGTAAGAAGTCAAACGTGTACAACACTTTTAAACAAACATATAGTAATTTCGGACATAATATTGTATAAATTTAAAATTACCAAAATTTTGTTATAATTTCTATTAGAATACTTTTTTCAATATATAAGAGATCATTTTATACATGACTTTATTTTTAAAATGAATTTCACGTGATATAGGCTTAGTTCGTTTTTGTTTTAAAGTTTTTATGTTAGGCAGATAGTGTTCGGAAATATGGAAAGATTACAATTGATCATAAATACGACGTTAGATTACGTTTGAGCATGGATATACTTCGAAGCCGATGTTAAAGTATTCATAGTGTTTATTCCTAGGTATTTTAAGTGTACGTGTTTAATGTGCGCTATATGATAAGGTAACGAGACGAGATTCAATTTAAAGTTAGGCGTCCCGTAAGTTTTTATCCCGCGAAAGGCATCCTTTGGCTTTGACTTTAGAGCGGGTCGAAGCGGAGATACGATGGGCTTTACGGTAATGTCCGAGAGTGGCCGTTTTCAAGTTAATATCACGTTGAACGAGATGAAAAATGGCAAAGGACGAGCCGCGCGTACGGGCGAATCAGGATTCGAATCGGCGGCAGTTAATCTTCCATCGGCTATTGTATTTTTGATACAGAGGGTTGCAGTGCGTTCCGCAATTTTGTCGCGAAACTTCGGGGCTTTGCAGTTTTGGAAATACAGTACGATCTCTCGGATATTGTGAAATGTGTTGCATCAAGTCTGACGTGTCGTTATATTTTTCATTATGTAAGTCGGCAAATTTGCGTTATTATAATATGTTATAATGGCAATAAAATTTGAATGAAAGAAAAGATAGTGTTAGAAATATCAATGGCCAACATATTGCATGACTCACTATTTAGTACGTGTCAAACT